TAGGTTATAGATTCTTTTCTATGTAAATTTTTAGGAGGTCCTTTTTGACAGTAATAAACTAGAGAAACAGCTTTCTAGAGCCCAGACCACGAAATTAACAGCAATTCTTAATTTAAAAAGAATTAAAGACAATGCCAACGAGACTTTCTTTTGGACGATATAATTTGTTGAAACTGTACAATTGTATTTATATTATATGATTTACATCATAAACTGATTTTACTTAGATAACCATTGTCAACCAACAGATAATGGATAGTTACTTCGTCCTAGTATCGGACTCCACAGCAATGAACATTCACAATCTCATCAGGGGGTCGAACCCAGGACTTTCAAGTTTGAGGCAAACTTTTGAACTTCCGAACACTGAATGATCATTCAATAGCTGACACATATAACTTCAATCGTTTCGCCATATCACGTAACCATCTTTCAATGTTATTGGTAGATAATTGTCATACAGACAATATGGTTAAACTTCACAGGTCATAACTTCTTACTAGAACTCAGTGTTTTTAATCAAATTTAACTTATATGATAATCTGTTAGAAAGTAGAGTTGTATTGCTTGATAAGTTGCTTAAATATATCATATATCAAAATAACATCAAATAACCATCTAATATCTATTATTTTCAAATATCCTTAAAATGTAATCAGAGGGCAAACTCACATCAAGATAAATATTTTTTAACGCTATGATTATCAAAGAATCTTCAACAGTGCATTCTATATATAGATTCCAACAGGGGATGCTTAGGTGTTATTAATGTCTTAAGCTAAAGTTAACAATTTGATATTTAGACAGGTTAAATATGAGATCATTAATAACAGATCACTATTCAATACAAGACAAGAACTCATTCATTTGAAGGGGATGTAAAGAGGTACAAGTTGGCATACATACATACAATCAGATCATCCACATATTTCACAAAAGTGTTTTCTATAGAAAATGATAGATCATATAGAAAAAAAAGAGGAAAGAAAAGTGAAAAGAACATAACACAATCGTGATCTATGAATCAATGAATTACATTTGATTAAGATCATGAACCGATTGATGTTAGACCACCATTGAAAACCTGGAATCACTGGATGTCCGTTTCGTCCTATTGTGTGACTCCTCAGAAGTGCGCACCCACGACCCTGCTCAAAGGATTCGAACCTAGGGCCATCAGTCTCGCGCGCAAATGCTTAACCTTCTGGACCACTATGCCGGTATCCAATGGTGTTAGTGTCTAACATCAACAAATCCCGAAAGCAGGATCGTAAATTAGCACTGCTGAGGAGTCCCACAATAAGACAAAACGGCCGTCCAGTGCTTCCAGGTTTCCCAAAGTGGTCTAACATCAATCGGTTCATAATCTCAATCACAATCCCTATACTGAGAATAACATTTGATTGAATTTTACTTTGATTTTATGAGTCCTAATAATTACCTCATAATTAGTTACATCTTGTTTATTAGGGTAATGATATTAATTAAACATTCACATCATTTAAGTTCAAGTTTCATTTTAGCTTTTAATGGGTAAAATGGAATGAAATTTGAAGTGTTTTAACAATAATTAAAGAAACAACATTACTGGATCAAGATGTCGGCAGCAATAATTATAATTATAATTATAATTATAATAAATTGATCAATACATCGAAGAATTAATTATTGTGCATCTATGTAGATGACTATGTATGCAGATGATGTGTCTGTGCGGTCTTCAGTGTGCACATCTATCTACCTATCTATCAAGTTACATGTAGCCAAGTTTCTTCCATTTGGTTAAATTCATGATAGATGTATATGATATGGTATGATTCATCTAAACAGAAAAAAAAGAAACAACACATTATATTATCATTGTATTACATGTAGTAATTTGCTGTTTATTATAAAGATATGTTAATTAGTTTAATAATAATGAAAATTTTCCGGTATTATTCAAGATCATCAAACACATTGAATAATGATGATAATAGTACTTGATTACTTAGTTATGCTTGTTAACCCTTGTCGAGGAGCATAGGCCACTCACCAGCATTCTCCATCCAACACCGTCCTGAACAATCTTTTCCAATTCTTTCCAAATGTTATTAATCCTTTACGTATCTGCTTACAAATTTTCACGTAGTGTGTGTATTCTTCCGCCTTCCTATTTTCCGCTTCCCTTCACGAGTCCACGTAGTAAGCACTTGCATCGTGATGCAGTTTGATGATTTGCGTAATGTATGTCCTATCCACAAACTCCATCATCTTTTCCTAATTTCCTCTTCATCTGGAAGCTGGTTTGTTCTCTCCCACAGAAGACTGTTGTTGATGGTATCCAGCTAATGGATGTTGAGTATCTTGCGTAGACAACTATTTATAATTACTTGTACCTTCTTGATGATTGTTGTAGTAGTTCTCCAAGTTTCATCTCCATAAAGTAGAACTGACTGTGTTGACGTTCGTATTGAAGATTGCGACTTTGATATTGGTTGAAAAGACAGTTGTTTTGATTTGCATATGTTGTTTGTTCAATCGTAGGAATGTGGTCCTTGCTTTGCCAATCCTCTCCTTTACGTCTGCATCTGATCCTCCTTGTTTATCTATGATGCTTTCCAGGTATGTGAAGGATTCTACATCTTCCAGAGTTTCGCCATCAAGTGTGATTGGATTGTTGTTTGCCGTGTTGTATTTGAGGACCTTGCTTTTCCCTTGTGTATGTTGAGGCCTACTGATGCACATAGTGCAGCTACACTATCTACAGTTTATTTGTAAAATAAATCTTTTTTTTCAAGCATACATGATAACTTCAAAAAGACATTGTACTAGACATAATATCCAATAAGATGTATATAATTCAATTTTACACTAACTATAGTCACTTATAAGTCAACAATATCACGTTTGTCTAGTTCCTAATGATGATCTAACTATATTGGTCAAGCTGAAATGTAGTCACTTGTTTGAAGGAATTGACACCATGGTACAATGAACCAGATATTTTGTATAATAGTATATTAAGTAAATTGATGAATTTAGATTTCCATATCACAAACTGATTTTGTTCAAACGATCTTTGAAACCAAGGTACGAAGGTCAGTTATTTCCTCCTGGTGTTATATCATGAGTCGAGCTCAGGATACGCAGGACTGATGATGGGAACTTAAATTTCGGATCACTGGATTCGAATATAAGGGTTCATATTTTTAACTTCAATCTATCCGCAATATTCTACGTCCACCATATAGTGTGAAGCAGTGAACAGTGGACTTTAACCATGTACATGAGAGAAATATCAACAATGGTAGTGTACGATGGTCACTTAATATCCTAAATTCGTTAAAGTCAAAACTATGTCATTAGATACCTGAACATTGGTTCAAAGTCCAGACTTTCTCCAAAAGGCCTGAATTTCCTAGGTTCGATCCCTGATGTGGTCGTGGATATGATCTAAAGAGAAGGTCGATACTAGGACTTAAAAGCTGTTTATTTCTTCTTGGTTTTCAATTAGATATTATGTGGTTAAATGCAGTCGTCAGGACTCATAAATTTATGGTTCCATGTACGTTCAGCAGTTGTTAGCAAACGTGTCTATAATTCCGATCAAACTGATGTTCAAAACAAAGTATGCATTAACCGGTTCATGGCGAAATTTATATATGGTACGTTTACAGTATCGAAGTTCATGTATTTGTTAATATTTTAAATGATATAATGCTTTGTTTGTGCTTTTGTAAAGATCTTGTACAACTTAAGTGAAGTTGTCAACATAATCACACTTATATTGTAGAAATCATCAAACCGAATCATAAAAGGGAAACAGAAATGAGGAAGACCAAAGAACACACTACATCGAGAATTGTAAGCAGACATGAAAACGATGAATAATAACTAGAAAGAAATGGAAAAGATTGTCCAGGACAAATTTGGATAACAGTGGTCTATGCTCCTCCACGAAAAGTAACATGCGTAAGTAGTTTCATCAGAATGAAATGAGATCATGTAAATAATGATTAATCTCCAGGAAAAAAACAATGTAAACAATTGTTTCACTGAGATCATGAACCGATTGATGTTAGACCAGCATTGAAAACCTGGAAGCACGTTTCGTCCCATTGTGGGACTCCTCAGCAGTGCTCATCAACGATCCCGCTCGCGAGTTTCAAACCCAGGACTCTCAGTCCCACAATAGGACGAAACGGCCGCCCAGTGCTTCCGGGTTTCCAACAGTGGTCTAACATCAATCGGTTCACGATCTCAATCAGAAACTTAACAATTTCCACAACACGTAAACTGATAATTGTTTTATCTTAGAGACTAATCAAGAAACTAAACTGATAATTATCACAAAATACCATTTAAAACTTATAATTGCCATAATACCATAAAGAATACTGAGTTTCATTCAATTGATAGTATAGCACAATCTTTTCCAATTATTATCTTAGTTACAATTTCTTTCATGTTTTGTTCATTATTCAGATAGATAGATATATTTTTTGTTTTTATTTGTCATCGACCAATAATCATAACAAAATACTTTGGCTCTCATGTTTGTTTTTCCTATCTTTATTGATTTCCTTATAAAAACGATTGGGAAAAATTTACACAATGAATATGAATGCAACTACAAAACAACTGTTTGCATATATATATACGTACATCTGTTAAAATGTGCTTCCTCAACACAAATACACACTCACACACACTATTTTCTTCCCATAATTCCTCTATCTATCTCACTTTTGTCCATGAATGTACACTTAATATTCAAAATGTTCATATTGATTTTCTTGCCCTACATGTTTTATCAGACAAAACAATCAGCGTTAGTCAACCTAGTAACATATTTGTATTAGGATACAAAGTCTTATATATATCACATAAAGAAGGCATCTATGTCAATTTCTACAAATCTCTTTATGATGAAAGCACACATATACATACATACATACATACATACATACATACATACATACATACATACATACATACATACATACATACATACATAAATACATACATACATACATACATACATATATATACATAGACATTTGTGCCGGTTGTAACACACTAGCCATAACACTACACTAACAATAACAAACTAATAATAATAATGAAGACGACCACGACGACTATACTGATAGTTTCTGATTGCATAAATAAAGATTAAAGATTGGTTCTAAATTATTTATCATATTAAATACTAAAAAAATAAAAATAAAAAAGTAAACAATAAAAAAATAATAAATAAATAAATACCTCATTCCAATAAAACACCAATATTAAACTTAAATTAATTTCCAACTAACCACTAAGTGATAATAATAATAATAATAATGTATGTATCTTAAATCTTGTTTCTTTGAATTTCAGTAAAAGCACGCGAAAATTTTAATTGAATTTTAAAAAACATTTCAAACAATACAAAAATGATCATTGATCAATATTGGCAATATTTAATAAAATGTGGATTTATTTTTATTATAATATATAACTCTATGATTGTATCATATCAACAATCAATCAATAATTATTATGATCCAGATCAAATTAATCAGGAAATAAATGAATATGAATTATTAACACCGAATTTAATGAATATACAAAAGAAACAATATAATTTAACATTATTTAATGCATATGATTCAATACCAATATCAGCTATATCATTAGCTATTGTATTTGATTCAACAGGTTCTATGGGTAATGATTTAAAACAAGTGAAAATTGGTTCAAGACGTATATTACAAAGACATTTACAACGCGGTGAATCAAATTATATAAAAGATTTTGTTTTAGTAAAAGTACATGATCCAGGTAAGTTAGAATATATATAATTTTAATTAGTGTATATTATAAATTGTCAATAATTATGCCTTCAAATGTCCTGATACGGCTGAGGGTAGGGAGAGTCTACTATCCCTTTTGAAATGCTCTCATATGACCACGTATATATAGCCATTGCCAATGAAGTCCTACTCACTGGCTTCTTGTGTCGGAAGTATAGTTTACGAAATTCAGAGGACGGAAAGCTAGTGTCCGGCGCTTTAACCGGGTTGGTCGATATAAAGAATCCATCTAGGGGAGATGGAAAACCCTTGGAAACCAGGATAAAAATGGCTACAATGGGACTTCATCTCCTGACGTTTCTCCACTACCTTATAGATCAAACCTTTAGGTCGAATGCTCCAGGTATGGTCTGCTAAGTAAACCACCTGCTTCAGTTTAAACAATTACAAAACACGATTGGATTCAAATTATTTCTATCTTGTCATTATTCATACAACTACATCATAACTAATCATTCATAAACGTCAAATTCATCTAGCCAAATAAAATCTATACCATTATTGTTTAGATACAATTCATTTCAGTTTTGTTTAATATTAACGATAAAGATTTAAATATTTTCTTTATCAATAATCAGGACAGAAATAGTTTAATATCTATTTAAAAGGGTATATACTAAGGTTTATTGAAGCCTTAGCAATAAGAAAATCCGAACCCCCTTTTCTGTATTCAAAAAACAGTTCATGATCTTAATCAAAAACTCGACAATCTCCACAATCCCTAAACTGATAATTACAATGTGCTCACTAGTGACTAGCTTCGTGAGAAAATTCTCGGAGTTCTGGTGAGAAGTCGTGACCAGTGGAGCTAATCCGTGTCGGGTAGAAACAGGTGTCTACTTCAGTAAAATGGAAGATGGTTGCTCAACTTCGTGGATTGGTTGAGGTTAGACATTAACATCGTTGGATGCCGGCATAGTGATCCAGTAGGTTAGGCGTTCGCGCGCGAGACTGAAGGCCCTGGGTTCGAATCCCATGAGCGGGATCATGGATGCGCACTGCTAAGGAGTCCCATAGTAGGACGAAACGTCCGTCCAGTGCTCTCAGGTTTTCAATGGTGGTCTAACATCAATCGGTTCATAATCTCAATCAAAAAAATAAAATACGGTTTGTTTTGATCTTAAACCTACCTTGGTAACATTAGCTTATTATCCAGTGATTAGGTTTCAAATTGTTTTCACATTAATATTATTATTATCCTCGTCTCCTCTCCCCCCATTTCCAGTCCAGTTAAACTTTTATTTTTAATATTTACTGTCATTTAAACAACTCGAATAAAATTCACTTGATATTGTTTTTCTTGAGTCTTCCCATTGATGTTTAGGACGGAAATTAATCAGTCTCTTATTGGCATATGTGCATACTGTGCGTATGCCTCGATATTGCCTTAATTTCACTGCTAGCCACTATTCATCTTTGCTTATAAAACTTGAATAAAAGTCTCAATAATCGATGTATTTACATGTTGATTCTTTAGTATTTACTTGAATTAACTGAATTGAATTCAAAGCAATTAGTCCCTTTTATAGTGAACTGAATTGAACATCTACTTGACCATCGTGGTTTCGATTGAAACTTAAATGGAGACTTGAATCAAGTGTTTATCACAGGTTCATTTAAACATCATATTAAAGCTCACGTTCTGTTTTAATACTTTTAGGTATTATGCAAAATAGATTAACGATGATTGTTTAAAAAAAAGTCTACTATTCAGTAATGTACAATTATATGAATAGAAATAAAATGATAATAACCATATTACTATTAGGTAATAGCTTTCACAACTATTTTATGATTTCAGAGGGGGTTTTGTGGTTATTATACTAGTTTTAATAGTTGAATTCATGAGTCAATTGAAGATAGACCTGGAAGCACTGAACAGCCGTTTTGTCCTAGTGGATTATGTTTAGTCAATTAGAATGTTGGATAGTATTATCCTAATATGCCGAAATACTAATAGCATCTAGAGATTTGCTACAAATAAAGCATTATTATACAATATAAATGTTTTGTAAGGAAAAATTGATGGTGGCTAACAATGGAATACAGGACTCGTGTTGTGTCCTATTTAGAACTCGCCAGTTGGATGTACCTGCATCACGCTGGGATTCGAATCCATTACCGTCCACTTTAAACACTATCGCTTTATCCAATGAGTCCAGATAGCCACTAGCTTTTGCAATGGGGGAAGTTTAGATGTATTTTGTATCGGTTGTTTGAATCTTCCTAGTAATGTTTAGGACAACAATCCGTACAGAATGAACATATGCTAATAAGAGACTGACCAATATAAAATGAATATAAATGCTTTATTTTCACATTTACTATGAGTCAGCAGAATTCTAATTTTTTCCTGGAAAACTGGGAAACCTGAAAGCGCTAGACAGCCGTTTCTTCCTATTGTGGGACTCCTCAGCAGTGGGTATCCACCACCACGCCCCGCGGGACTCGAACCCAGGACCTATCAGTCTCACGCGCGAGCACTTAACCACTAAACCACTGAGCCGGCTGTCATCTAACGGTGTTAATATCTAACTTCAACTAATCCACGAAACTGAGCGGCACATTCAAAATTGTCATAACCTTTTCATATAATGTACTATATGGGAAAACCAGATTTGTTTATTGTTTTAACTTAAAGTTTTTGTTTAATCATGTCACTGAGGACTAGTTTTTAAATCACTGATTACATCTTTTTCTGTAATATAAAGACAATAAAATAGAGGAATTACAAATATGAGCTGATAACATAGATAATTAGAGAGTGTTGCATGGATGTTTATAATTTGATAATTGAATCTTGACTTCATTATGTTTGTTGCTAAAATTTAATAGAATAATGATTATAAATAGTTCAGTTTTAAAAAAAGAAAACATCTTTCATACAACTTACTAATCTACTTATGATCTACTTATTAATAAACAATAGCTAAGTTATGTAATACTTCGCAATGTGATGTAAACAGAAAGTAACTAATAACTAATGGGAATTCGTCACGTCATTAAAAAAGAGAACGAAATTTCAATGAAGAAAAACTAATCTGTATTTAATGTATACAGTGGTCTAGAAAGAAGAAAAAATAAAGGTGGTATAACTACTTTTAAGTATCAAACCGAATCTGTGTAATAATCTAAAATAATAGTGTGAAAAAACAATAATGAAGAATGAATAAATTAATTTATTACTGATTATGTCATATACATTTCAATTCAATTTAGTTTTCGTTAGGTGATTGACGGTGAGATTATAATTTATGGATGACCTTTGAGCGACGCCAAAGTGACCTTGAGAGTGTTCACCTAATAACTAGGATCAAATGAGGGTTATAAACTAGTGTGAGAAATTAGAATTATGATTTATAGGTGATGGTTAAGGTTAGGAATAAAATGTAGGGTTTTCATTACGAACTGACGTCAGCTATAATGTCAAGACTATTAAGCTAAATGGATGAATGAATTTCTAGCTAAAATCCGAGACCTGTTATCTTATACATGATTGGTTCGTCCATAACTTATGGTCTCGCCGCAAATTCTTTGTCAAACACTAATACAGTAAGGTTATGACCCAAAAATGGCTAAATAGTTTAAAGTAAACAATCATAGAAATAAGTTTATGATTCATAGTATTTATATAAGATAAACAGAGTACATGTAGTTGTCAATCACGGCGAGACTATAATTTATGGACGAACCAATCATGTATAAGATAACAGGTCTCGGATTTTAGCTAGAAATTCATTCATCCATTTAGCTTAATAGTCTTGACATTATAGCTGACGTCAGTTCGTAATGAAAACCCTACATTTTATTCCTAACCTTAACCATCACCTATAAATCATAATTCTAATTTCTCACACTAGTTTATAACCCTCATTTGATCCTAGTTATTAGGTGAACACTCTCAAGGTCACTTTGGCAGGTATTTCACTTTCTACTGATGGCATATACTACTTATATCTGTCAACATCAACAGCATACACCACACTGCTACTTAGTAATTTATATGGTATCTAATTATCTTTCTTATCTGAGAAATTTGGTGTCCCATGTAAATCCTTGGGATATCACTTGAGTAAATATTGTGATAAACCTACATAATTTAGAATTGTTTTGTTTTAATTAAACAATTATGAATGTTAACTAAATCGATTCGTGTACTTCCATAAAATCATTATTGTGGGGCTAAATACTGGAAAACTTAAGCATCACAACTCTTGGCTTATTTTCATTCTACTTTATTCTCTGGAGAAACAGGAGAAAATCGTATCAGAATTCGTATACCCAATATATTTTAGTGGGACCCTTTATTCTATCGTCATTTAGATCGGATAATGTTTGTCAACGTGCTCTCCACTTTAGTGGCCCGGGATCTGACTCCAATTTGATCGTGTGAATGATTGCTGTCGAAATGTATATGTCGCCTATCCTCGTATATAATCATCGACTTAAATCGTGTTAGTCAATAACGCAATTAAATAAGTCAATAACGAGAATGGACTTTCGAATACATATATTTTGTATATGAAGAGGATGGAATAGAGAGAAGTGAAACGACGCTCAGTGAAGATGGTGGTTAAGCCAATTCCATTTAGTCAATCGTTAATCAATATTTATAGTCACACAAAAATAGGCTCTAGACATGTGATGAATAAGATAAGAAATGTACACGCACATACATACGCTGATATAAAAACAGTCAACGTTGTTAAGCGAATAATTAACAAGGTCAAAATGTAACTCAAATAGAACGAATAGATCGGACTGTCCAAAAGAAAGAATAATGTATATGGGCTTAACATGTCAACCGACACTACAATATGACAGATTAAATAAATAGTCATTATTATTAATATTATATTTTGGTACAATATAGAATTCTTAACACAAAGTACTTCAACAAGTTTCCTTTTCTTATTTCTTGATCGACCCTTTCCATAAATATTGGATGGTCGCCAGTTAGATGTTAGCACTTCAGGAATCGGCATCTGAATAATGTACATTCTTTTCGATGTATATTGCCAGCAACTACAATGTTTCTGATTGTGCACTTTCCTAAGTTGTACAGAGAAAGGTCGTGAACTTTTCATAAACGCATTTGAATAGGTTGTACAATTAATTGACATAATGATCTGTTGAAATAAACAAAAGACATATAACATGTTGAAATATCTAGATGGCAGGAACAGTTAGCCAACATATTCATACAGACTGCCTTTGATTTCAAACAGCTGAAAACATAACTATGACTTGTAATTGAAAATAAGTGACAAATGTTGGCTATTGAAAAACTTTTATGAGATATATGTCATTACATAGGTTAGGCTTGATAATTTCAAATAATATCAGAAGGGGTTTTTGTGAATATTATAGTAGTTTTAATAGTTGAGATTATGAGTCAATTGAAACTAGAACACCATGGAAAACCCGAAAACACTGGACGGCCGTTTCGTCCCATTATGGGACAACTCAGCAGTGAAAAACCGCGATCCCGCCTCGCGAGACTTGAACCAAAGACTTATCAGACTCGCGCGCGAACGCTTAACCTCTATACCACCGAGACAGCGGGCATCTAATGGTGTTGATATCTAACCTCAACCAATCCACGAAGTTGAGCCACCGTCCATCATTGTCTTCAGTGAGTTACTATCTCACAACAGACCTGTTCGTATTTATTTATTTATTTAGTTGAACACATAAATATTGGTACAAGGGGGCACCAAATATATATGCGCCACACAAAACAATGAGAATTTAAAGGAAAGGAGAAAAAAAAGTAGTGAACGTAGGGAATTATAAAAAAAAAGAGAGAGAACAATAATGGGGGAAACGGAACAGTACAATCAGAAGAAATCTTTCAGTTAAGGAAGGAGCAACCACTTTTTATGAAGAAAGTAATAGAAGGTTACAGCAGGATCGCCACTGGCTTCTATTCTGAGCCATATCTGATAACGTCTCTAGCCACTGTGTTGCACCATCTCTCGGACCCCAGCCAGAGAGTCGTGAAGGACCAACAGAAGCCAGCCCTTCGCAGCTTTATTTCACACAACGACACCATGTCATATACTGACCACCTCTCCGCTTTTTCCAACCAGTCACACAGTCGGCAAATAATGCACGACGAGGAATTCTCTGGGACGACATTCGTAGAACGTGTCCAAGCCACCGAAGTCGGTGTTTCAAGATGGTGACACCAATTGGATTGTCGTCTCTGTGCCAGAACACACGATGCTGAACCTCTGCATTACTAACATGGTGTTGCCACTAAATGTCAACAATCCTTCGAAGACAACGATGATCGAACACAGAGAGTCGTCTAACATCCTCAAGTCAGAGAGGCCAGGTTTCACAAGCATAGAGCAGAACTGTTCTCACCGACGCGTTGTAGATCCGACCTTTTACAGCCAGACTAACATCACGAAGGCGCCAAAGATGGTCCAGATTGGCATAAGCCGCTCTGGCTTTCACTATACGTGCATTGATCTCATCACTCACACCACCACCAGCACTTATGCAGCTACCCAGATACACGAACTTCTCGACGAGTTCTATCTGCTCACCATCCAGGGTGAGTATAGGATTAGAATCCTGCCAGTCTTGTAGAAGAACTTTGCACTTCGAAGGTGCAAAGCACATACCATATCTACGGACACTGTTTGCCAACTGATTAAGTGCGGATTGCCTGGCTTGGGCATTCTCGCACAGTAAGACAATATCATCCGCATACTCAAGGTCGAGAAGTCTTTCTCCATGCAACAGATCCACACCACCAATACTTACATCCATCAGAGCTGTTTCCAGAATGTCATCGATGGCAAAGTTGAAGAGGAATGGTGAGATTGGGCAACCCTACCTAATCCCACTGCTTGAATAGAATAATGGAGAAAGGTGGTTGTATGCCCTGACTCTTCCTGAGGTGTGTATAGGGCTTTTAGGATGTTAATAAACTTCTCAGGCACACTCTTCTTCAATAGACAATCCCAGAGAACAGTTCTGTCCAACGAATCGAAGGCAGCCCTGATATCAAGAAACACTACGATTGTTGGCCTTTGATAAGTATGATGGTGTTCTAACATTTGGCGGAGGGTGAAGATATGATCAATACATCCTCGACCAGAACGAAACCCAGCCTGCTCCTCGAGAGTTAATCTTTCTCGGGTCTTGAACAACCTACGAAGTATGATGGAAGCCAATAGCTTGGACGCAATCTGAAGTAGACTTATCCCCCGATAGTTGTTACAGGAATGACGTGAACCCTTTTTAAAGCAGAGATGGATGATGGTTAGAAGTGGAATACAGGATGCACTTTTCGTTTTGTCTAAGACCTATTAGCTGGATTTATCTATATCTCAGCGTTGATGTTCACCTTGAGATTCGAACCCAGTATCATTGGCTTTGAGATAGCGGAAAAGATTTGTAGCTCAAGTGGATGATTTCAATGAAGCTTTTTTCTTTGAGTTGGATGGTTTTGTCGTGGAGCTTTCATCATTATTCTGAATGATATGCTGATGATATCCACGACAAAACCATCCAACTCATCAAAACCATTGATTTCAAACACCATCACATTATATATATATATATATATATATATATATATATATATATATATATATATATATATATATATATATATATATATATATCGTTTAAAACAGCATATTCATGTAATGTATACTCATTATTTATCCTATTGTAACAGTAATACTTTATCATTGTATAGAATATTAACTATTATCATTTATCTTATAGATGAATCATGTCAACTAACAATTTAGTCATTATACAAATAGAGAAAAACCAATAAACTAACATATACTACTTATTAATTTGTAAGCAAAAATATAGAAATAAATCAGTCATCTAATATGTTCTTTGTTGATGACTAATGTGTAGTATTATTCCTTGAACTAATTGATATTACCCAATATATAAAAATAAATAACACAATTGTTTGTTTATTAATTATAAACAAAATATAAATCAATGGTATGTACTATTTACCAGTGATTACAATAAACTAGTTTTGTTACCCTAGGTAAAGTATTTTTTCCCCTTTGTTTTCAAACTGAAGCCAATTGTCAATATAAGAAGAAAAAGGAATTAGTGATATTTTAAACTAAATATGACCATTCAATAATAAGTAAGAAACAAAACAAACCTAAGATTTTGTTTTCAACAATTACCGTTATAGCAACACAGTTGTATATAATACATGTGATTCATAATTTCAGGTCAAAGGTCAAAAGTAAAAACAGCCGGTTAGAAACTGTATTACAGATCAATACTACTTACTTACTTGTGACTGTTACCCACGATGGAGTATAGGCTGCCGACCAGTATTCTCCAGCACACTCTGTCCTGGGCTTTCATTTCTAGTTCTATCCGATTTTTGTTCATTCTTCTCGTGTCTGTCTCTATTTCTCGACGTAATGTGTTCTTTGGTCTTCCTCTTCTCATTTGGCTTTGGTGACTCCATGTGAGGGATTTCCTTGTGATGCAGTTCGACGCTTTCCCCAATGTGTGTACTGGAATCTGGTTTGTTCTCTCCATTGATATATTAAGGAATTCTTTATTAACGATTATTAAGTAAATTACCATTTTACCACGTAATTAGACGTAAATATAATTGTATCTTATCCTAATTATCCTTCAATTTTGCATAACCGTCAAAGTAGAAGATTTGTAAGGATTGTTCAATGGTAAAGATAGATTCTGGTTAAAGTTCAAAATATAAACTACTGAATTTCAACTCAGTAATCTAAACATACCATCCTTACCATGGTATCAAAAATTGTTGACCTCAAGTATTAAATAGGATTGTGAATAAGCACTGCTAGAAAATTCTCAAACTACAATATGACAACTGTTTCACTTTAGTATGGATCTCCTTAACAGTTTAGAACTACAACTCCTGAACGAAATATGATTATCTAATCTTTCTAGATTTTCAATGATTATCTAACTTAAATCTAACAATCCCCACAATCCCTATACTCCTAGATGATGAGTATTATTTAATGCTCCCTAGTTTTCGTAATGGAGCTGAAACTTGGAGAACTACTACAACAATCATCAAGAAGGTACAAGTAATTATAAATAGTTGTCTACGCAAGATACTCAACATCCATTAGCTGGATACCATCAACAACAGTCTTCTGTGGGAGAGAACAAACCAGCTTCCAGATGAAGAGGAAATTAGGAAAAGATGATGGAGTTTGTGGATAGGACATACATCACGCAAATCATCAAACTGCATCACGATGCAAGTGCTTACTACGTGGACTCGTGAAGGGAAGCGGAAAATAGGAAGGCGGAAGAATACACACACTACGTGAAAATTTGTAAGCAGATCTGTAAAGGATTAATAACATTTGGAAAGAATTGGAAAAGATTGTTCAGGACGGTGTTGGATGGAGAATGTTGGTGAGTGGCCTATGCTCCTTCACGAGGAGTAACAGGCGTAAGTAAGTGAATAAATAAGTTTTCATGATTCCCCTCATCTAAATCATTTAGTAACTTCATAAATATTTTTTAAGTTATTTTTATCATTGCTTTATTTAATGTTTTTTTCTTCATGTATCCATATTTATTTTTATTTTAGATGTTGGACCAGCTAAAGTGACAACATCCACTAAAACATTTTATGAATATTTAGATAATGTTTACACTCAAGGTGGTGGTGATTGTCCAGAAATGACAATAACTGGCATTGAATTAGCATTGGAAGCCTCTAGACCGAATTCATTAATTTATGTTTTTACAGATAGTAGCGCTAAAGATTATAATCGTACAGAGAAAGTACTCAATTTAATACAACAAAAACAAAGTCAAGTAAGTTGATCAATTTATTAGGTGAGCTTATAATTTATGGACAAATCAACCAGATTTAGGGTAACAAATCTTGAATTTTGGTCAGAAATTCACCCATCCATTTAGATAAATAGATTTATGGCATTATAGATAATGTCAGTTCGTGATGAAAACCCTGCATATGATTCTTAAGCCTTACCATCAACTGTAAATCATAGTCTTTATTCAAGCAGGTTTGTAAAATTGTAAGTGGACATAATTGATTGACCACTGGGTGGTGATCAATGTTATATGTGTCAAGTCCTTCTTAGTGCAGATCGAATGCTATCGACCAAGTTACAATGTGGCCACTAGTCTAGGTGACTCGACATTGAGTGCACTATGTTGAGATTAGATGGTAGTTGAAGGTAGTTAACAAGAAACCCTGGACCCGGGTTTCGTGCTACTTGGCACTCGTCAGTAAAGTGTACTTGTAATCTTGAGGGAACTGGTGATCTCCGACGGATTCGATCCCGTGTCACCCAGCTCCACAGTTAGAAAGTCAGTCAGTAAGTGGACATTCTCAAGGCCACTTCAGCGTCGCTCAAAGGTCGTCCATAAACTATAACCACACCATTTATTGTTACCTAGATTATTTTAAGATTTGTATTTTGTTTTATTCAAATTTATTTATTTGGACACACAAATACTAGTACAAGGGGGCACCAGATACGTATACGTCACACAAATCAAATGAGAATTGTGTGAGGGCTGTGGTACTACCCGGGTGCCCAGACCGAAACAGGAGGTTTTCTTAGGGGACCACATCCGGAGTCTTTGACCTAAAAGTCTGATCCAAAAGTCAGTGGAGCATCGTAAGGAGATGCAGCCCCATGGTAGCTGGTGACCAACGATTGGTTCATACGCCATTTGTCCCCTTAGGGTACTGGAGCCCATGTGCACCATTGGTATGGAAGCAGGGTTTTCCAACTCCTCTAGATGGAATCTCTGTGTCTACCAACCCGGTTGAAGCGCCGTATATTCCTCTCAATTCCGTAAACAATACCCCCACCACGAGAAGGCAGTGGGTGAAAGTCGGTAAAAGTGTAATATCTAGTACTAGTTCTGGACACATCACTTAAGTTATTCATTTTGAGTCGTATTTTGACCTTAGAAATTATTTGCCTATAACCTCGAGTGTTTTATTTGAGAGTATGTAGGTATCGATTTTCTTACTCATCACATATATATAGCCTATTTTTATCTAGTTATAAACATTGAGTCAGAATTTATTTAAATGAATTGGCATGTTCGCTTTCTCACTTCTTATTCCTAACGTCAATCTGAACAAACCAGTGTTCGAAATAAATTTAGATAACCCAACCCGAATTTGAGATCTTATTATTGCCATCGCACAAACGGGCTTAGCCTAGTGTAATATACGAAGTTAAGCTAATGATGTATCATCACAGCATATATATCAAACGGAGTCAGATCAACGAGCCACTAAAAAAAGTGTACTTTAGGGACGAGCCAATCAGAATCGAAAATGAGACTTCCAAGTTTTTTTATGTTATGCATAGCAAGCAGCAGAAATACCTTTGTATAGTTCTCAAAATGTTTAAAATGATAGTGAAAAGTTATTTTTTGCAACCATAAAGTAGAAAAACAACATATTGTTAAACGTATCAAATACCTAAGTCTATCTCTAAAGATAGTATGCAACAGGCAAATCGACACTATCCCTAAATTTTAATCATTATTTCCGAAACTAACTTAAAGTTGGTAGAACTATATTTTATGAGAGAACGAATCAGATAACACCATTTGACCTTAACTTAAAATACCTAACCCCGAACTAGGAACACTTTAGGGGCTTTTAAAAATCTATGTAGATCATCTTAAGGGTTTGAGAAAACGGCCAATCTTCGTCCATAAATAATTTATACGTTACTGCTTTTTAGATTTGCTGTTAGAGTAACCTATAGACTCATTATTGATCAAAAATTTGTTTACACTATGTAGAATCATTATTTTATTTTCATCAACTATGTATTGATGAGAACTGTTTCCTAACTGGCTAGAAAGTAGCCAGAAATTCGTCGTTGCTCGTCCCTATACTACAGTATACTATAGCGTAGACGAGATATCCGTCTACCAACTAAAGGATGGGTTTACTGTGCAGTAGTTCGTTCTGCCCACTTTATGGCAGTGAAACATAGCCGGTAAGAGTAGAGGATATTCGTAGGCTACTAGTATTCGATCATAGGTGTCTTCGAAGCATTACTCGTATATCCTGGGACCATCGAGTAAGTAACGCAGTTGTTAGGAAACGGGTACTAGGTAAGGATGGTAAATCAATTGATGAAGTAGTAAAACTTCATCAGTTGAGATGGATAGGACACGTGTCACATATGCCCAATAACCGATTGCCCCGATGTGCAATGTTTTATTGTGTAGGATTAGGTTGGAAGAAAGTTAGGGGTGGCCAGATCAAAACATGGCACAAATCCATGAAGTCACTGACAAGTGGACTGAACCATGTTGGTAGGTTTAGACTACCTGGTTGGGATCCGCGAGATGGTAGCAACCGTTGGTTAGAGACCTTGAATGACATGGCTGAAAATCTTTTGCAATGGCGCAGAAGCATCCACTCTTCGTGTTCTCCCAAATTCTAATCTTCTGAATTCTTCATGTCCCTTTCCTTTTTTCTCTTTCCAAATTTATTTTACTGGATTATACTCCTTGAATAACATCTTCAAACCATAGTGTTTCTGATTATTGCTTATACTCTTACTACCTCTACCACTACGGGATTTGAATCGACACTTGTATCGAAATGCACACATGATTTCACCATTTAGAAAAGCCAATAAGTTTAGGTCTTGTAATGATCACCTAGCCATTAAATCTCTGAGCCAATATCTAATGGTTTAGATATTCATGATATTGACCATAAAATTCAATAAATTTCCGAAACTCCTTAACTACTACTACTACTACTACTATAACTATTACTACTACTACTATTACTACTACTACTACTACTACTACTACTACTACTACTACTACTACTAATAATAATAATAATAATAATAATAATAATAATAATGTATGTGTGTTGTAAAAGTTCGACTGAAGATGAAAATGATAATATAGAAATGGTAATTTAAAATTTCATAAGTTTTATGGACTATGGCAATGCCTCAGTTAATTGTTACTCATAAAGATATTGGAAATTATATGAAGTATTTTAAGTACAAAAGTGATACATTTAAATTCCATATTATAAATTGCTCTCAATAAGTAAAGAATGATAATGATCTTTTGAAATACTCTCATTAAGTTGATTTCGTATATACTCTTTATATGACTAACTACCACCTACCTTGGTACATGATAATCATTATTCTGGGGGTAGATTGAGAAAAATGTAGGGGTGGCCAAACCAAGACGTATCATCTGTCCATGAAGTGATTGACTATTGGAATGAGCCATGTTGTTAGATGTAGACTACTTCATTTGGATCTTTGTGACTATCATAAACAATTGTTGAAGAAGCTGGATGACATTAGCTAGAATCTTACACAATGGCACAGATATACACTCCCCTTAGGTCTAGAATGACAAAATTATCTGAGTACTTTTTATTCCATAAATTTGTATTTTCTTGTATCATGCTGTCAACATCTAAGCTTCCCCACTGTTACTGATGTTGCTATTACTTCTGTTATTCTGACCTCATATTGAGCTTATGCAGCGTGGCACCTTGAATTAATGTACAAATGTCCCAGGATTTTGGTTGTTAATAACTGGCTGACTGACTATGTGATCGATTGTGTTTGGTAGATAATATTCAAAAATCCATATTTTAGTGGTAAATCGTTACCTATGTGATCAAAGAAATTACAAATGTATTAGTTATTCATCAACAGTATTTAATGAGATTTTTGACTGAAATTTTACACTTAATAATGTTTTACATGTAGTTCAGATGATTTTAGCTCATTGACACGAAATTATAGTGTACACTTCCAGATATAAACGGTTTGAGTTTGATCACCTTTAACGCCATGTATGTACATTTACAGCAGCAACTGGTGGGCGGCCCATGCTCATCCAGAAAGGGTAACAAGTGTAAGTAAGTAAATAAATAAAACAGACACGGAGATTTATTTTTCTGTCCTATAAAAGTATTTCAAACAAACTTTTAACATTTGTAACAAAAAAATTAATAGAATATTTCAATTACAATTTACTGTTATTATTTATAATTAAGGTTGTATTTGTTCTAACTGGATTTTGTAATACAACGGATGAACCTGGTTTTGAAGCATATCGTCAAATTGCTACAGTTAGCTCTGGTCAACTTTATATTATTGGTAAAGGTCAAGTTAATGAAGTGAGTGAATGATATTTCTTCCTGATATTTTCATCATCATTTTCCTGTTGAAATTATAACTTCTATATAAGCAAGGATGCATAGTGGCTAGCAGTGAAATCGAGAATGCCTGTTTCGTCTTATCTGAGACTCATCAACTGGATATACCTGCATCTCAAAATTGATGTTCACTCCAGGACTGGAATTCAGTATCGCTTAGTTACTGATTCCTGATAGCCAGTAGCTTGTGAAATGGGGTGAAGTTTAAATTCATTTTTTATCGGTTGTTTGAATCTTCACATTGATGTTTAGGACTGCAATTGATCAATCTCTTAATAGCATATGTGCATCCTGTACGTATTTCCTTGATGCTGCCTTAATTCATAAGTATTATAAGCAAAGAAAGATCATGCTTGTAACCTAAGGCAATATCAAGACAATCCACATGGGATGTACATATACCAATAAGAGACTAATCAATCGCAGTCCTAAACATCAATGAGAAGATTCAAGTAAACAATATCAAAAGAATTTATATCTTTTATATTTTATGGTAATTGTGGTCTAGATTGAAATTTACGAAATAAAATATGATTGGTTGTTCCTAAAATTAATGGGATGCGCACTGCTGAGGAGTCCCATACTAGGAAGAAACGACCGTCCAATGCTTCCAGGTTTTCCATGGTGGTCTAGCTTTAATTGAATCATGAATTCAACTATTAAAAATAAATTTTCCATTGATGGTTATTTTTCCGACCAAACAAATGCTAGACGATGTTCACCAGTTACTCGACCTGCACATGTACGTGTACGGTTTTCACGGCACAAGTAGTTGCACAGTCGTCAACCTCACTTCCACTTACCGTTAGAGCCATACAAGTTGATTGGTTTGTCCTGCTCGATCACCGGACATCCAGTCAGCGACCACATATTGAGATACCTCCGGATAAACACCTTATAGATGAACTCAATCCCTACCATCCGCGCCACTACCCGCACCTCAATCTTCAACGGCAACAGGGCGGACTTTATCCGGCTAATCCCGGAACCCCATCTGGGTTACCGGGCTATCGAAGCCATGTGTTAGCCAGCAACAAATGACCGCCCGCTTTCTAGTCCTTGCCGTTTTTACCGGATCGTCGGGTCTTTCAAAGTCCCGCATAAAGCCAAAGGATCAGTTCCAGCTATGATAGGTTCCTCTAGAGCACACATGTTGCCATGAGGATGACTTCACCTGCCCAGGTCAACGGCTAGATCCAACCTGGCCTCTTCATCACACTAGTGCAGATGGATCAGTGCAAAATGGGTAGAATTCCGATGTAGCCCTGGGAACCCACTATATATTGCTATGCCGGGGAACCCTTACGCACACACAACAGCCCAACTGGAGACCTGAAGGTCCCGACGACATTTTAGCCGCAGCATCAAGTGGATACCACTCTACTAGCGGGAACCATGGAGAGGTAGTCGTCAAGTAACCATAACTCCCAAAAGCCCCAAACATATGACAAGTCACGAGGCAAAAGATGACGAGGCATTTAGCTACCTTAAGAGAGTCACTGTTATTCCCGCCGACCAGCATTCTCCAACCTACTCTGTCCTGGACCTTCCTTTCTAGTTTTATACACTCTACATTATAGCACTAAATAAATAATTTTAAATAACAGGTAAAACATATTTTTTTCTAGTGTAAGATAATCGTAATGTATCTGGGTGGATTGGTTTTTATTATGAACTTACCAAAAGTATCCCTAAGATTTCGATCACAATACAAACCTTGAATTATATTCTTAAATAAATTACATAATGATTCTTGATGTTTTTAAGATTTCTCCCAATAAATTATGTAAGATAAATAGTACCAATAGAGTTAAGTGAACAAACTCCTTTATATACTTTGTCTCATATGCATAATATTAAGATATTTTAAGTGAAGTAGTGGATTTCTATTACATTTTTCAAATAATGTAATCTGAATGAAATGAATTAAATTTGGTTCTTAAAACTTTTGAAATAAATGAGCATTTTGTCTGAATGAGATAAATTAAAGTTTGTCAAGTTAAAATAAATAAAGTTGTATTGTAGTTATGCTACTTATGTCTGTCAAGATAAGTAATATGTAAAACCAATAGAGAGTTAAGATGGTGGTTGGAGGTAGTCAACAGGAAACCCTGGACCCGGGTTTTGTGCTACTTAGCACTCGTCAGCAAGATGTGCCTATAGTCTTGGGGGAACTGGTGTTCCCTGACAGATTCGATCCCGTTTCACCCAGCTTCACAGTCAGAGACGTTATCACTGAGCTGTCCGAGCTACGACAGACCTCCTGTAGTGATCGATAGCATTCGATTTGCACTAAGAAGGACCTGACACACATGACATTGCTCACCCATCATCCAGTGATCAATCGATTCTAAACCGATCAAGAGTGGAATGTCTATCAAAATGAAGATTGAACTAAAAAAAACAGAAAGCTAAACATGAAGGAATTGAGAAATAGAAGAATGATGAAAGATGTAAAGGACAATTGATGAAAGATATACAAATGAAGTATTTAATGTGTGGTATTCACATATTACAATAAACTGGTTTTTTGTAGTATATATATATATATATATATATATATATATATATATATATATATATATATATACATTCTTTTATTGGAAGTAATTGTTACATCCCGATGAGAATAATAAAGGTAACTGATTGAATCTATTTCTGGACTAATACTATACGTATTTTTTCTATCATATAAGCAGCTACCCTATGCATATTCATGTTCCTCTTATCATAAGCTTTATGTTGATCTATGAACTATTATTATACGATTTACCATTCTTGATTTCTACCCAGTCTGTCAAAGACTACCTCCCATATTCACAGCCACATTTGGCTAATTCTTGTACAAATGTTATTTTATATTTTATGGTACGATGTGATCTCTTTGGTTGGTTTGAAATAAACGATTCATATCGCAGAGGATGAGATTGGTGTTCTGAACTCACCAGATTGGGCTAGAGGAAGCAGGACTGATAAGGACTCTAGACTGCTCGTACTTCTTTTGTACGTCATTGGTCCGGTCGATAATTCATTGTTCTCTAATTGGCGGTATTATCCCGTTATACATTAACAGGGAACACAGGCCACAAGTCATAACAGTAATAATGCTAATTCTCTATTTGTTTTAGCGTTTTTATGATCTTGTTTGGTCCAGAAGAAATACTGTAAAACAAAACTTTTAATACTCTAATAGCTATTGGCCATACACTTGTGAAAATGACTGTCTGATAAATTTAAACAAATATGGTATCGTATTTTCCCCATTTTCGAACTACCCAAAAGTTTTAATGACCATCTTTTGTCAAGTAATAAAGTAAGTTAGTAAGTAAATAGTAATTACAAGGGTTATGCAGTGAACTACTGAGTCCCGTTAGTAACTAGCTTATGTAATGGGGAAGTAAAAATTAAAAGAAATCAACTTCATACTGTATATACTTTCATAAATGTAAATATATTCTACTAATCATTATTGGGTAGTTCAAAAAGTGAGCATTATTGAACTCTAGTAATACAGATAATTGTCCTTAGTATGTAAATTGTAAAATTGTACTTTGTTAGCCATTGTAATTTTATTAAACAATCATACAATGTAAATAAATGTACTTATGATGAATGTACCATTAATAAAAAAGCCTTTATATTCTAGTTTATGCAAGTGGTTGAAGCTGCTGTTGAAGCACGTAAAGTACATATACTTCAACAAGATACATTGAATACAGAATCAAAAACTTATAGTTTCCCAGTTGATTCTCATTTATCACAATTAACTATACAAGTAACAAATCATCAACGTGATCGAGCAATCAATGTTAAAATTCGTAATCCTGAAGGTAATTCTAATCTATTGTTATTATTATTATTATTATTATTATTATTATTATTATTATTATATTTGGTTAGATTCTCTTCAACTGCTTACAACTTGTAATAAGATGGTGGTTAGAAGTAGCCAACTACCATAGTGCATGCAATGTCGACTCACTTAGACTAGTGGTCACATTGAAATTTGATCGATAGGATTCGATCTGAACTAAGAAGAACCTGACATACACAACATCAATCAACAACCAATAATCAATCAAATTTAAATATAACTTGTAGTGTTTAAAAAACGGATGGACCAAGAATATATTAATTTCAAAAATAATGATCAAGTTATTACATCCAAAAATTAATGTATAAATATATTGAATATAAACTATACACAAAAGAAAAGTATACAATCCGTCATTTAAGTTGTCAGGACTAGGCGTATTCGAGTTTTTTTTTGGTCTGATCATCCATATCTATATGTAGTTATTAATCTTAATCATAATTGTTATCATTTGAGATGTATGTCCAGATAAAGTAAATATACTAAAGTTCTGTTATCATAACAACAGCTAATTAAGAACTGTATTTATGAGAGATAATCAGTATGTCATGCTATGGGTGGAGGGAGACGATTCAAAACGAAAACGGAAAATCCAAGGTTATATGTTTTTAAACAACTAATTTACTGTCTATCATAGTAATTGTATCCAATTATAAGAATTAATGAAAGAAATGAAAATAGTAACTAGGACCTAATTACAAAAAATATGTCTGTTCTTACTATCTTCACGATATGTATATGTAATGATGGAATGGTAATAATAAGTAAGAATTAAATGTAAAACAAGAAAGATGATTGCATATGATACGACATAATGTGTGATGTTGTAATATGTGATCGTAACAACTTCCAGTCAAATTCATTTGTATAGGTATTTTTAATCAATTCAATGGTGAGACTATAATTTATCAGAGACGCAAGACTGACCTTGAAAGTGTCCAGCTAATAACTAAGACCAAATAAGGATTATAAATCAGTGTGATGTGTTGGAATTGTAATTTACAGTTGATGGTTAAGGTTAGGAATTAGATTTAGGGATTTCACCATGAACTGACATCAGCTATAATACCAAAACTTTATTCATCCAAATAAATGAATGAATTTCGGGCCAAAATCCATGACCTGTTATCTTATACATGATTGGTTCGTCCATAAATTATAGTCTCGTCTATGTTATTTTGCTCAAACTATTAATTTTGTTAACTCCAAGTATAATAAAAGGAACTATGTGTATGAAGTATTATTGTTATTACCGCTGGTAAGATAACGGATATTTATTCATAAAATGAAAAAAATTGGTTAAGATTATAAATTTCTGCAGAAGTTTGGAAGACTCTCCCAGTCTCCCACATAGTAAGAGAATTCCATATACGTAAATAAATGGTTACTCTGGTTGTCAGAAGGGACATCAGCTTCGTGACTTCCGAAGGAACTCGGCTTTCACCATGAGGCGTCATAATTCTTTCAAGTGAAGACCTTCTGACTCCCAGGGCAGAGTTTAAATGGTTTGAATAATTTTATCTGGTTAGCGTTTTTTTAGCGAGTTAGTTTTCTACGAGATGGAGTAGCTAACTCCATGCCCAACCCTCCTCCTTTATCCGGGTTCGGGACCGGCAGTAGCCCCGGAGGAGCTCCAGGCGGAGTTAGGATTATAAGTTAGTAGATTCTAAAACAGCTATCTAAAAATAAAAAAACACTACGAAATCCGAAAATCTTAGTGAGATGATCCAGAAGATTTGTATCTCAGGTGGATGATTTTGATGGAGTTTTCTTCTCTGAACTTGATGATTTGTTCACTGCACTTCTACCTGAAATTTGTGCTGATGATGTCGTTCAGATGAACGATGAAAGCTCCACAATCAATCCATTCAGCTCAGGGAACAAAACTCCATGAAAATATTAGTTTGAATCCTTGTAAGGCCGTATGGGTGCATATTGCTTAAATGTTGAAAAGTCTGGTAAAACAACTATTCAATAACAACTGGTCCTCTTTAAGTATTCAATCTATTAGACTAATTTAAGCTTCGAAAAATTCTGTATATCAACTTATGTCAATATTGATGGATTTCGACATTTTTGGTGAGTAGAAGTTAACACCTAAGAAAGTTTCAATGTAAATTTCCTATTTAGTAAAGAAAATAATCCATGTTGAATGTAGAAAAAAGAACTACCTCACATAAGGGTCTATCACAAAATTATTTCCTTACTTACTTGCGCCTGTTATTCCCAACGGAGCATAGGCTGCCGACTAGCACTCTCCAACACACTCTGTCCTCGGCCTTCCTTTCCAGGTCTGTCCAATTTTTGTTCATTTTTCTCATGTCTGTCTCCATTTCTCGACGTAATGTGTTCTTTGGTCTTCCTATTTTTCTTTGACCTTGAAGATTCCATGTGAAGACTTGCCTTGTGACTCAGTTGTGTTTTCATCAATGTGTGTCCTATCTACTTAATCACAAATTAATCCCTATTAATTAGTCATAGTTATATGCAAATGATTCATATAAACACTTCCGATGTACTGAATGTTGATTTAATCTTAGTAAAACCTTTTTAATTTATATCCCAAATATTTGCGATAGTCAACATAAAAAGTGGATAAAAAAATAATACTACTGATAGGATAATGGATAATAGAAGGATGGGTGGATAATAGAGGCCACCAAACGATGATGTGACACTAGTAAGTGGAGTCATTGTTGGTTTGATCAAATATTGTCAAATGAAAACAAGCTGATTCGAGTCCACATGATAAACACAATCAAAAATTGTGTGATATTATATAGAATCGGTCATAATAACGTAGGTACTCAGTTCCAGTATTCCTTTATACATACTTTTTCATTTTAGTTTCTCGAACTGTATACTTACTTTTTAGACTTCTTCACATAACTTCGGCCATTCTAATATGCTCACGTCACGTTTATATGGTAAGGGAGCTTGAGCTAACAAATTTATATAGAGCTCTACTTAAATAATAATTTACTAGTTGAATAGTTTCTAGAAATTATTAATATATTCAGAGGAATACTTTATTGATAATGATTTTAAATTCAGGACTCGTCCTTCCACTGAATGGTAACAAGCTGTTGGTAAACATGATGGATTTTTATGCAAGCCCCTTTAAGATTTGTTAGATATTATTGTATAGTTAGAAAACACTGTTAGTCAGAATTATACTACTACTACTACTACTACTATTACTACTACTACTATTACTACTACTACTATTACTACTACTACTATTACTACTACTACTATTACTACTACTACTACTACTACTACTACTACTACTACTACTACTACTACTATTACTACTACTACTACTACTACTACTACTACTACTACTACCAAATAATAATAATAATAATAAATACACCTGTTACTCCTCGTGAAGGAGCATACGTTGCCCACCATTACTCTCCATCCATCTCCTTCCTGGACAATCCTTTCCAGCTCTTTCCACTTGTTATTCATCCTTGTTATGTCTGCTTCTATTTCCTGTCGTAATGTGTTCTTTGACCTTCCCCTTTTCGCTTCTCTTCTGGATTCCATGTTAGCGCTTGTCTCATGATGAAGTCAGAATTATGGTTTATTTTAATTCCTTTTACTTTCTTCAATGTTTTTAATTTTCTAATCAGGAAAATTAATTGATAAAGAAGATGGTCTAAAACAATTAATGAAAGCTGTAAAATCTGTATTTGTCGGATCAATTGACCGACCTAAACCAGGTCAGTGGACATTAGAAGTTGGTATTGATACCGAGGAAATCGATTCAGAAACAATGAATGTTAATAACGGCAATAATAATACTAATATTTATAGTAATTTACAACGTGAAAGATGGATTTCTGTTCGAGTTTCTGGTATAAGTGATGTTGATTTTCTGCAAGGTTTTTCAACAACACCAAAATTGTATAATTATGGTTCATCAACACAACCAATTGCAGGTTTGTTTGAATATTTCTTTTTTATCTTTCTTTGTTTTTTAATTATTTGAATTATGGAATATTTGTGTGAACAATAAGTTGTTTTCAATAACTTCAACATTAGTCTACAATTATAAATGGTACTGGGTTCGAGTCCCAGAGTGAACATCAACCGTGATATGCAGGTACATCCAGCTGACGACTCTCAAATAAGACGAAGTGACGCGCGTCCTAGATTCCACTGCTAGCTACTATTCATCTTTGCTTAAAATGCTTGTGACTTAAGGCGATATCGAGGCGATCCGCACAGGATGCACATATACTAACATGAGACTGATCAATTGCAATCCTAAATAACAATGGGAAGATACAAGTTAAACAACAACTAGTGAAAATAAATTCATAATCGTTGTACTAAAATGGTCAAAATAAGGTATGGATAAGTAAATTACAACAGTGAACTCATTGATTAAGCAAAATTCAAATTACTTCAATTATAAAATTAAAATCTCATTTAAGAAAGGTGTAAGAAGAATGATTCGTTTTAAGGTACAAAGCTACAATCAATATAATCAAAATAAATCATGAACAAGGATAGAGCCTTCTCTATAAAACACATGTAACTAGCTCCGACAGAAAAGTTAAACCGCTATACGCATATGGAAGTGCTCATTAATGGTATTTCACACTTGATTAATTGTGTAAGTACTTATTTAGTTGAGTAGGTAACATGTAACTTAATAGAGTTAAACATCTTGTCAGTAGATCTTCTTAGTCGATGAGGAAAATTGTTATTCTTCAAGTCATCTTTAAAATCAAATCTTAAATCAAGTTTTTGTGCATCCTGTGCTTTTGAATTAAGACAATATCGAGGCAATCCGTATAGGATACACATATTGCAATAAGAGATACCGAGTCCATATTAGCCAGTGACTCGGTAGCTGAGTGGATAACGTAATAGCGTTTGAAGCAAACGATACTGCATTCAAGTCATGGAATGAACGTCAACTCTGAGATGCAGGTATATCCACCTAATGAGTGCCAAATAAGATGTAACGCATGTCCTAGATTCCATTGCTAGCCTCCATTCATCCATCTATGCTTAATGTTACTGTTTATCAGTTAAAAGATATATATGTACAATAGAAAATTATGTTGAACTTGTAAGGTTAACAAAATACAAGTTTAATCTGTTGAAATCATCCCTCAATTTGTAAAACAGGTTATTTTGACATTCCTACTTTGCAGGATTAGATACATCCCATGTAACTATAGCTAATCAAAATGAAATGTTTAGATAACTAAATCATATCGTAAATTCTAACGATGAAAGAAACTTCTCAAATAGTAAATAACGATACCATTATGAACAACTAGTATGTGCTAAATGAAACTGTAACTCGTACGAATTAGGTAAGAAGACAAATAATGGTGGTAATATGAAGATTTTATCTGTCGTCCTAAAACAATACAATTCTTTAATCAAAATACAATCATTTATATTTACTTGGTGTTGTTTAACTTGTATCTTCTCATTGCTATTTAGGACTGCATGTTGGTATATGTGCATCTTGTGCGGATTACTTCTATATAGACTTAAGTCACAAGCATTTTAAGCAAAGATGAATAGTAGCTAGCAGTGGGATCTAGGACGCGCGTTTCGCTTATTAATAGGATTCGATATCATATATGATTGAAATAGGGGAAATATAAAACTTAGATTTAAAAAAATACAATAATGCTTCATATTATGAGAAACATTTTATCCAGTCAACATTCAATAGAAATTTCTCAGAAACATCTAAAAAGTGAAAAGTCGCCTGTTACATTTCTGATGGGATGATTACCTAACATGCTACTATGTTTAATAGGGTTACAATATTTGTGAAATGAATTCTCGACGTTCCGTTTAACACCCAGTAAAGGTATTGAGTTAAATTAAAACAGAATAAAGTCGAGAATGTAGATCAGTTGATTAGTTCTAAAGTGATATGCTTTTAGTGAACCTCGAGGGTCCTGAAATCGATCCCTGGCGCGGTTACGTATATGCTCTTCTAATGAGTTCTGAAGTAGAACAAAATAGATATAGAGTGATAAGTGTTTTTGGATGATACATCAACTATTATCGATACTTGGTGAAAACCATCTTACAATCTAAAAATTTGAACAAATCTATCAGTTAGCTCTGGGTTTTTCTATAGCTCTGAAACATGTCTTATGGAAGAGGAAATTATATTCAGACTATAAGTATTTGATCACAGGTGTTTTCAAAACACCTCTTTTACTTTGTGAAACAATCGACTGAGGTTGAATGTAGGATTCTAGGCAAAGTTAACAAAAAATTTGATGAATCTATGATTTTTCATCGACATAGATGACTGGGACATATACCACATTTCTAATTATTCCCCATCAAGAAATGACATTCTATCTGAAGTAAGAGTAATTTGTAAGGAAGTTAGTGTCAGTCAAATCAATAACAGTGAAATATAATCTCGTTTATTTTTCAAATTCATTATTCTCTAAAGCATACTTTTTTAACATTTTCTACAGGTGTTCAAAACTACATTATGGTTAATATGACTGGACGATTTCTACCAGGACAAATTGATCATTTTGATATGCGTGGATCAAATGGTTCATCAATTGTACGATTACCTGTACAACAAACTGAAACATTTCAAATTTATGTTAGTCAACAAGCAATGGAACCAATTACTGGACATTATTATCTTGAAGTATGTTTTAATTCAAATAAATTCTTTTATAGAAAAAAACACTAATACAAAAATGTTTTCCTTAAACTGGTACAAAACAACTGAAGGAATTTCATCGTCATCATCATTACTGTTCTTTTTTTCAAACAAGAAAATAGGTTCTTTTATGGTACTGAACAAATCAGAACTAGATTAGTATCAGAAGGGGTTTTGTAGATATTATAGTAATTTTAATAGTTAAGATCATGAGTCAATTAGAGCTAGAAAACCATAGAAAACCTGGAAGCACTAAACGACCGTCTCGTCCTAGTATGAGACTCCTCAGCAGTGAGCATTCACGAACCCGCACGTGTGATTAGAATTCAGGACCTATGAGTGTCGCGCGTGAACGCTTGACGTCTAAACCACTGAGCCGGCATCCAGCGGTGTCGATGTTTAACTTCAACCAATCCACGAAATTGAGCGACACATCCAGTGAGTTACTATCTCACAACTGACCAGGTTGAAATTCACTGATCACTGCTTCTCACTAGAACTCCAGGATATACCTCTTGAAGCCAGTCACTAGTGAGCACATGGTGATTATTATCAGAAGGGGGATTTTGTGGAGATTTTAGTAAAGTAATAGTTGAGTTCATGGGTCTATTAAAGAGCTCGCTCATGAGATCGGAAATCTTTGGTGCGAATCCCGTATACGGGCTTGTGGATACGCACTACTTAGGAGTACCACATTAGGGCGAAACGGACGTCCAGTGCTTCCAGATTTTCCGTCGTGGTCTGGCTTCAATTGTCTCATGATCTCAACTATTAAAATAACTAAGATTGTTTAAGTGTAACTAATATTAAATTGAATTCGACTATTTGAAAATATACAGAAATGTAGCTAATTAATCAGGAAGAAATGTTCAAGTTTAACATATACTACTGAATTGGATATTTAATTTAAATAAATAGGATAAAGATAACCAAATATCCAAATGAAACTATCATATTTGTATAGACGATGTAATTTTATGTTGTGCGGCCTCTGATCTCGATAGTTACTCACAAGCCTACCATATATACACTCATAGCAGCTTTAGAATGAGAAGACTAAGAGTGAGAAAGAAGCATTTTATTGCTCAATTGAATGAATAACTGTACACTCATTCTTTTTATTAGGGTGTTATTTTCCTTTGAAGAAATTCATTTGAATATTGGTGCAAAAGGGCACCGAATACATATGCGACAAACAAGTCATTTGATTTGTGAGTGGGATGTGATAGTACCCGGATGCCCAGACCGACACAGGTTGTTTTCTTGAGGAACCACGCCCGGAGCTTTCAACTTAAAGTTCTGATCCACAAGGCAGTGTAGCAACGTCAGGAGATGCAGTCCCATGGTAGCTGGTGACCAACGATTGGTCCATGCGTAGAACTGTCTTGACATTTGTATTGAAAGTTCTGACTTTTGTGTTAGTTGACAGTTGATTTGAGTTCCATAAGTTCTTCAGTTGTAGGTATGTTGCTATTGCTTTTCCGATCCGCGCCTTCACATCTGCATCAGATCCAGTATGTTCATTAATGATGCTGCCCGCCTGGAACCCTTCTAGGCCTACTGTCGGTCTCAAGCCGGGATAAAGGAAGAGGGTTTGGCATGCGGTTAGCAACCCCATCCCGTAGAAAACTAACTCTCTAAAAAGAACGCTAAGGCAAAATAAAAAACTTGGGATTAATTTATCCATCATACACTTAGAACAGGGAAATTGGGGAATCAAATAACGATTATTCATTAATAACAGAGATCACATAAATTTTACACATAATACTACTTATCATCTTGATCTCTAATTGAATGATTACAAAATTATCTAAAATAAACTCTGATTTCTAATGTTCGGGTTCATTTTCGATCAAGTTACAAAAAATGATGATTGGTACGTTTATCGATTTTCTCACGACAGATTTAGTTTATAACAGGCTATCTACAACTAAATAGTAATGAATTTAAAGTTACATCAGAAATCAGTAAGCACTATTCCTATTATTCAATAAATTTTCCCTGTCTAGTTAAATTACTGGAAATAGTATTGTACACGACTGTTTTAAAATGTTACATATACTGACTGATTTAAGAGCGGTGTATGAGTTAAATCTCTGTACTTATATTGTTCTATGATAGCCTTCTCTTTTGCTTCTATGTATATAAATCATGAATCACTTCTTGATACACAAGAAAACACTTTACATTGTAGATGAATAAAGAAATAATTAGGAACTATAAAATCTTCTATTCTGAAACATATAGTCAACAATAACTTCATAACATTGAATGTATCTTTCAATGTGATTTACAAGAACAAATCCAACTGAATTAAGTATATATATAGACAAATCTCTTCTATTCTACAGATATATAATTAACATATCACAGAAACCTAGATGTGGGTGCTCAGAAAGTCTGTACGATTACTTCATTTGTTACGATTTCAGTCTCTTTCAAATATGTATATTTTCTTTCATATTTCTTATTTCATATGTTACATCCTTCATTTATGATTGTATATATACTACACATGATTATATTACTATTTTTAT